AATTTTCAAACATTTTTCAGTTTATATAGTGAATGTTTGAGTTTGTAAAGAAGAATACAAACACTGCTATTTATTTGAACAGTCTAAGATTCACTTTTCTTCAATTTTTTTAGAGGAACAACACAAATTTGATATATTTTTCTTCATGTTTTGATTTGGAATAGAATGTGTAGTGTTCCCAATGCATTTGTGTGTATGGAAATAAAAGCTATTAGAAGGATTTTGAGGTTTATTCACTTTTTTCAACACACTGCTGTTATTTTGAACACAACTGTATGTAAAGCGCTGCGTAAATTGACGGCGCTATATAAGTACCTGAAATAAATAAATAAATAAATAAATATATGTAAAAATATATGTTAAATTACTTTTTTATTTTAAAAAATCTGAAGAATATATTTAAAAAATATGTATATTTTTTAAATATATTCTTCAGATTTTTTTTAACATATAAAAAAGTAATTTTAACATATATTTATACATATATTTGCAAATGCATTCCAAAAAATGTAGATTTGTATTTTTAAAGACATACAGTATATTTGTATTTTTAAAATATTTTTCATATATTTTGTAATAAAAACACATTTCAGCATGCAGTATATATATATTTATTGAAATATATTTTGAAATATATGGCACACATGTGGCACACAAAGACACACAACAGAAAAATTTAGTTTATTTTTCACCATTTTAACTGGTTGCGGGTGTGATTTTTTTTGTCAACACCTGGTCAAGGATACAGGGGAGTTTACTTACAAGTTACAGGAGCATCACAGACTTGGAATGCAATTATTTCTTACAATTTTGAGAAGGTGCCAACATTTTTGTCTAGTCCATTTTTGGGGCTTTGCGAGGAATGTGTCAGATTTGGCTTTTTGTTTCTCCACTTTTTTGTGTCACACCAATACAAACAAAAGAAATAAACATGAGAATGCCCAAACATTTGTAATTGCAACAATTTTCTGGGCATAGTGGTGCGTTATCTGACAAAAATGCCAGAGCAGGGCCATCTTTAACGCGGGGCAAAAAGGGCAGCTACCCCAGGTCTCAGTCATTTTGTGGGGCCCAAAGCAGCTGCCCCCCCTTAATTTTGTCACCCCGGTGCTGCTCGCTTCTGTCACTTGTAAATACGGTACAGAAACACTGCTCAGAACCCTCCCGTGTATGTATGTGTGTGTCTCTGAGTGTATGTGTGTGTGTCTCTGAGTGTGTGTGTATGTGTGTGTCTCTGAGTGTATGTGTGTGTGTGTATGTGTGTGTCTCTTGAGTGAATGTGTGTGTCTCTTGAGTGTATGTGTGTGTATATGTGTTTCTGAGTGTATGTGTGTGTGTGTATGTATGTGTGTGTGTGTGTGTGTGTCTCTGAGTGTATGTGTATGTATGTGTGTGTGTCTCTGAGTGTATGTGTGTCTCTGGGTGTATGTTGTGTCTGTTTGTGTGTATGTATGTGTGTCTGTATGTATGTGTGTATGTACAGTCAGGTCCATAAATATTGGGACATCCACAATTCTAACATTTTTGGCTCTATACACCCCACAATGGATTTGAAATGAAACAAACAAGATGTGCTTTAACTGCAGACTGTCAGCTTTAATTTGAGGGTATTTACATCCAAATCAGGTGAACGATGTTGGAATTACAACAGTTTGCATATGTGCCTCCCACTTGTTAAGGGACCAAAAGTAATGGGACAATAATAATCATAAATTAAACTTTTGGTTTTTAATACTTGTTTGCAAATCCTTTGCAGTCAATTACAGCCTGAAGTCTGGAACGCATAGACATCACCAGACGCTGGGTTTCATCCCTGGTGATGCTCTGCCAGGCCTCTACTGCAACTGTTTTCAGTTCCTGCTTGTTCTTGGGGCATTTTCCCTTCAGTTTTTGTCTTCAGCAAGTGAAATTGCATGCTCAATCGGATTCAGGTCAGGTGATTGACTTGGCCATTGCATACCATTCCACTTCTTTCCCTTAAAAAAAACTCTTTGGTTGCTTTTGCAGTATGCTTGGGGTCATTGTCCATCTGCACTGTGAAGCGGCGTTTTTTGAGTTCTGAAGCATTTGGCTGAATATGAGCAGATAATATTGCCCGAAACACTTCAGAATTCATCCTGCTGCTTTTGTCAGCAGTTTTTTTGTTTTCAATTTTTTTTTTTTTTTTTTTCCATTGGCAGCCATACATGGCCACGCACGCCATGACACTACCACCACCATGCTTTTTTGATGAGGTGGTATGGTTAGGATCATGAGCAGTTTTTTTCCTTCTCCATTACTCTTCTCTTCCCATCACTCTGGTACAAGTTGATCTTGTTCTCATTGTCCATTTTTTTGTTGTTTTTTTTTGAACTGTGAAGGCTTTTTTAGATTCGTTTGGCAAACTCTAATCTGGCCTTCCTGTTTTTGAGGCTCACCAATGGTTTACATCTTGTGGTGAACCCTCTGTATTCACTCTGGTGAAGTCTTTTTTTGATTGTTGACTTTGACACACATACACCTACCTCCTGGAGAGTGTTCTTGATCTGGCCAACTGTTTTTAAGGGTGTTTTTTTCACCAGGGAAAGAATTCTTTGGTCATCCACCACAGCTGTTTTCCGTGGTCTTCCGGGTCTTTTGGTGTTGCTGAGCTCACCGGTGCGTTCCTTGTTTTTTTTTTTGTTCCAAACAGCTGTTTTGGCCACGCCTAATGTTTTTGCTATCTCTCTGATGGGTTTGTTTTGTTTTTTTTTCAGCCTAATGATGGCTTGCTTCACTGATAGTGACAGCTCTTTGGATCTCATCTTGAGAGTTGACAGCAACAGATTCCAAATGTAAATAGCACACTTGAAATGAACTCTGGACCTTTTATCTGCTCATTGTAATTGGGATAATGAGGGAATAACACACACCTGGCCATGGAACAACTGAGAAGGCAATTGTCCCATTACTTTTTGTCCCTTAACAAGTGGGAGGCACATATGCAAACTGTTGTAATTCCTACACTGTTCACCTGATTTGGATGTAAATATCCTCAAATTAAAGCTGACAGTCTGCAGTTAAAGCACATCTTGTTCGTTTCATTTCAAATCCATTGTGGTGGTGTATAGAGCCAAAAATGTTAGAATTGCGTTGATGTCCCAATATTTATGGACCTGACTGTATGTGTGTGTGTATCTCTGAGTGTAGTATGTTGTGTATGTATGTGTGTATTTCTGTGTTGTGTGTTTTTATGTGTGTGTCTCTGAGTGTGTGTGTCTATGAGTGTATGTGTGCGTATGTATGTGTCTGAATGTATGTGTCTATGAGTGTATGTGTGTATGTACGTGTGTCTCTGAGTGTGTGTATGTATGTATGTGTCTCTGAGTGTATGTGTTGTGTGTTGTATGTTTGTGTGTGTCTCTGAGTGTATGTGTGTGTGTGTATGTATGTGTGTGTCTCTGAGTGTCTGTGTGTGTATGTATGTGTCTGTGTTTATGTATGTGTGTGTCTCTGAGTGTATGTGTGTCTGTATGTATGTTGGTGTGTCTGAGTGTGTGTGTGTGTTGTATGTATGTTTGTCTCTGGGTGTATGTGTGTGTGTCTGAGTGTGTGAATGTGCCTCTGTGTGTCTGTGCGTGTGTTTTCAGTGTGTGTGTCTATGTGTGTGTGTCTGAGTGTGTCTGTGGTGTGTGTGTTTTCAGTGGGTGAGCTCTGAAATGAAATCTGTTAGGAAGAGAGCTTTGTACTTGTGGGGGAAGGGGGGGAGGAGAACTTGGATGTACTCAGCACACCCCTCAACTCTGCACTCTGTACACAGCGAATGCCTCACTCCTGCACTACCTACATAGGGCACCCCTCAATCCTGCACTCCGTAAACAGCGCACCCCTCAATCCTGCACTCCATACACAATGTAACCTGAACTCCATACACAGCGCACCCCTCAACTCTGCACTCTGTATAGCACACCCCTCAACCCTGCACTTGATACATAGCGCACCCCTCAACCCTGTACTGTACACATAGCACACCTCTCAATTCTGCACTGTATACAGAGCACAACCTTGAACTCTGTACACAGCGCACCGCTGAACCCGTCATTTCATACAAAGTGCACCCCTCAACCCTGCAGTCTGTACGCAGTGCCCCCTTCAACCTGCACTCTATGTACCCTGGCAGCCCATCCACGGAGATTGGGCTCTGTTCCTACCTGCACTTAGTCAACCTTCATAGTTGTGTGTTCTCTGGTATGCTCATTGCTAACAACAAGTTCTAGAATTTTCTGTCTAGTGGTGGGTCTTGTCCCCTCCGCAGTCTGTGGTGTGCCAGAAGGGAGGAGATTGTGTTCTGTAACCTCTAGCAACCCATCATTGAGCTGTAATGATGTGCAGTAACCTCTAGCAACCAATTAGTAAGCAGTAATACTGTGCAGTACCCTCTAGCAATAAACAGTTCACAGTAATGATGTGCAGTATCCTCTAGCAACCAATCAGTGAGTGGTAATGATGTGCAGTAACCTCTAAGAACCAATGGGTGATGTAAGGATGTGCAGTACCCTCTAGCAATTAATTTGCAGTAATGATGTGCTGTAACCTCTAGCAACCAATCAGTTAGTGGTAATGATGTGCAGTAACCTCTAAGAACCAATGGATGATTAGTAAGGATGTGCAGTACCCTCTAGTAATTAATCAGTGAACAGTAATGATGTGTTGTAAGCTCTAGCAACTGATGAGTGCTGTAACCTCTAGGAACCAGTCAGTGAGCAGTAATGATACGCTGTAACCTCTGGCAACCAATCGCTGCCTGATCTGCCCATACTTTTCCTCATTTTGCACATGTTGACACAAAAGCTCCTGCTCCCCCGTGGTGGGAACCGAGATACAAGCTGATGGAAAGTTTAGCGTGGACCCGCTGATGCTGAAGCAGATGTGACTTTCTCTTAAACCCTCTTCCGCACTCAGAACACGTATATGGTTGGACACCGGTGTGGACTCGCTGATGCTGAACCAGATTTGATTTGTTGATGAAGCCCCTCCCGCACTCAGAGCACAAAAAACGGACGCTCGCCAGTATGAATCCTGTGATGGGTGACAAGATCTTTCCTACCACCGAAACATTTCCCACATTCAGAGCATGAGTATGGCTTCTCCCCCGTGTGGGATCTCTGATGAGCGATAAGGTGTCCTCTCCGGGTAAAACACTTCCCACATTCCGGACATGAATATGGCTTCTCTCCCACGTGAGTTCTCAGATGAGCAATGAGATTGTCCTTGTGGGTAAAACAATCACCACACTGAGGACAAGTCATTTTGTTCCCCATGTGGGTACGCTCGTGTGAAACAAGATTTCCACGGTGAGAAAAAGATTTCCCACACTCACTACAAGAAAATGGTTTTTCGCCCGTGTGAATTCTTTGGTGTCTAACGAGAACCAACTTGGCTGAAAAGCATTTCCCACATTCCGAACATGAATATGGCTTCAGCCCCGTGTGAGATCTTCAATGGGAAGAAAGTTGACCGATCTGGGTAAAACCTTTCCCGCATTCAGAGCAAGAAAATTGTTTTTCTGGTTTGTGAATTCGCTCATGGGCGTCCAGAACGGACTTCTGTCTGAAACATTTCCCGCAGTCGGAACAGGGATAAGGCCTCTCGCCCGTGTGGACTCTTTCGTGGACCATCAGATACCTCCTTTGGGAAAAGCACTTTCCACACTCCAAACACGAATACAGACGGCCGTTGTGTATTTTCTCATGCGTGATCAAAGATGACTTTTGGGAAAAACGTTTCCCACATTCGGACCAAGAAAATGGCTTCTCGCCCGAGTGGGTTGACTGATGTCTGACGAGGGCTGATTTCTGGAGGAAGCATTTCCCGCATTCGGAGCATGAAAACGGCCTTTCGCCAGTGTGGCTTTTCTGATGTCTCTGGAGAACAAATTTATGAGAGAAACATTTCCCGCAATCTGGACATGAGAATGGCTTCTCCATGGTGTGGCATCTCTGGTGGGAGATGAGATCAGCTTTCTGGGTAAAACGTTTTCTGCATTCAGAACATGGAAAGGCTTCCATGATGGAAAGGTCTAAAGGATGGCTCATGGAGTGTTGGTGATCAGCCGAACTCTCTCCATGTGTAGAGGGATCTGGCATCAGATCTGAGCGGCAAAGGTTGGGGTTTTCAGGAATGCCATCTTCTATTTCACTAGAGAGAGACATTTTTCAAGATTGTACTGTCGGTATTTGTCCATCTGAAAAAAAAAAAAAAAAAAAAAAAAAATATTGGAAAAGGAAAGGAAACACAAATAGTTAAAATGAAGCCCTGGCCTTGATAAAAAGGGTTTAGCACATACACCGATCAACCATTACTGTATGACCACTGACAGGTTAAGTCAATAACAATGATTGTCTTGTTACATTGGCATCTGAAAGTGGGCGGGATATATTAGGCAGCAAGTAAACATGTTATCCTTGAAGTTGATGTGTTGAGGATAACTCCCTCTGCCACACTGTAAAAATGGTTCAAGAATGGTTTGAGGAGCACAACAAGTTTAAGGTATTGACTTGGCCTCCAAATTCTCCAGATTACAAGGCATCAAGCATCTGTGGGATGTGCTTGAAAAACAAGTCCAATTTATGGAGGCCACACCGTAAAAATAGTTCAGTAATGGTTTGAGGAACACAAGTTTGAGGTATTGACTTGGCCTCCAAATTCTCCAGATCGCAAGGCATCAAGCATCTGTGGGATGTGCTGGAAAAAACAAGTCCAATCCATGGAGGCCACACCGTAAAAATGGTTCAGGAATGGTTTGAGGAGAACAAAACGTTTGAGGTATTGACTTGACCTCCAAATTCTCCAGATCAGACTGCATCAAGCATCTGTACCCACATAGAAGAAATATATATTTGAAATATATTTTTAAAATATTCTTCCCAAATACATTGACATATATTTGAAATACTACAATTTTGGCCGTATTCAATATATTTAAAAAAAAAATAAATATATATATATATATATATATATATATATATATATATATATATATATATATAGTCGAAATGCGTTTTACATATAATTTGAACTATCCAAAAAATATTTTTCAAAATATATTTTTTACAAATATATTCTTCAGATTTTTTTTAACATATAAATATATATATACACACACACATATATATATATATATATATACACATATATATATATATATATATTATATACACATATATATATATATGTATATATATATAAAAATATATTTAAAAATATATTGAACACGGGCAGAATTGTAGTATTTAAAATATATGTCAATATATTTGGAAGAATATTTTTAAGATATATTTAAAATAATTTTTTTTTCCATGTGGGTGGGATGTGCTGGAAAAAAACTCCAATCCATGGAGGCCACACCTTGCAACTTACAGGACTAAAAGGATCTGCTACTGACGGCTTGGTACCAGATACCACAACATACCTTTAGAGGTCGTGGTATCTGTGCCTCAGTGGTTTCAGGGCTATTTTGGTGGCAAAAGTGAAACCTACTTAACCCCTTGGTGCTGACTGCCTCACGCCCCTTTAGGAGTTCTAAAAGCCGGGAGGCGGAAGTGGGCATCCAGGTCATGTGACAGCTGTGATTGGCATTCGGCATTAAGGCCCACCCACTGAGCAGCAGCATATATGCATACGGTTGAAGTTAGGTGGGTGATCATAAATTTATGGCTGACTGGTGTATATCCACCTCAGCTCCAGGCCATTTTTGGAACTTTTTGTTTCCATGTTAAAAATCAGTATTTTTTGCTAGAAAATGTCTTGGAACCACCAACAATATATTATATATATATATATATATATATATATATATATATATATATATTTTATTAATTTTTTTAAGCAGAGGCCCTAGAGAATTGGTGTTTTTTTTGCATTTTCTTTATGTCACACGGTATCCTACCCGTGTCTATTATGAAGATGAACTATATATTGCCAAAAGTATTGGCCCCACCCCTCCAAATCATGTGATTCAGGTGTTCCAATCCCCCCCATGGGCACAGGTGTATACAGTCAAGCCCCTAGGCATGCAGACTGCTTCTACAAACATTGGTGAAAGAATGGGTCGCTCTCAGGAGATCAGTGACTCCAAGCGTGGTCCTGTGATAGGTTGCCACCTGTGCAATAAGTCCATCCGTGACATTTCCTGGCTACTAAATATTCCACGCTCAACTGTTAGTGAGATTATAACAAAGTGGAAGCGACTGGGAACAACAGCAACTCAGCCACCAAGTGGTAGGCCACGTCACATGACAGAGCGGGGTCAGAAGCGCACAGTGCGCAGAAGTCGCCAACTGTCTGCAGAGTCAATAGCTAAAGACCTCCAAACTTGGTGTATCCTTCTGATGAGCACAACAACAGTGCGTAGAGAGCTTCATGGAATGGGTTTCCATGGCCGAGCAGCTGCATCCAAGCTTTCCATCAGCAAGTGCAATGCAAAGAGTCGGATGTCGTGGTGTAAAGCACGCCGCCACTAGACTCTAGAGCAGTTGAGGCGTGTTCTCTTGAGGGACCAATCACATTTCTCTGTCTGGCAATCCGATGGACGTGTCTGGGTTTGGTGCTTGCCAGGAGCATGGTACTTGCCTGACTGCATTGTGCCAAGTGTAAAGTTTGGTGGAGGGGGATTATGGTGTGGGGTTGTTTTTCAGGGGTAGGGCTTGGCCCCCTAGTTCCAGTGAAGGGAACTCTTAAGGCATCAGCATACCAAGACATTTTGAACAAATTCATGTTCCCAACTTTGTGGGAAGAGTTTGGGGATGGCCCCTTCCTGTTCCAACATGACTGCGCACCAGTACACAAAGCAAGGTCCATAAAGACATGGAGGAGCCAGTTTGGGGTGGAGGAACTTGACTGGCCTGCACAGAGTCCCTGACCTCAACCCCATAGAACACCTTTGGGATGAATTAGAGCGGAGACTGTGAGCCAGGCCTCCTCCCCCCGCATCAGTGCCTGACCTGACAAATGTGCTTCTGGAAGAATGGTCAAACCTTCCCATAGACACCCTCCTAAACCTTGTGGACGGCCTCCCAGAAGAGTTAAAGCTGTTATAGGTGCAAAGGGCGGGGCCAACTCAATATTGAACCCTCTGGACTAAGACTCATCTGTGTGGCAGAGGAGGGGACATTTCCTAACTTCTACAGGATGATCTGCTGGCAAATTATGACTAATAATTAAATCACTTTTTAAGCTGGTAATTAATATTCCAGTTATGGTTCTTAGTATGTCAGGCCCAAAAAAGGAGCTACAAATTAAAATGAGTTTTCAGGGTAAGAAGTGCAAAAAATACATTCTAAAAAAAAAAAAATTCAAATAACTACTCTAGTCCACTGAAGCCACATTTTTTTTTATACTTGGGATAACACACTTTTATTTCCAGAAATATATGTTATAAGGGGAATCTGGGGCTCTTTTCTGTTATTAGTATTTATTACCCACCTGTGCTGATCTCTATAGGAACTTCCTCCTCTTTGAACCTCGCAAGTCCTTCTTCCTCCTCCTCAGCTTTGATGTCTCTCTGAGTCTCTCTGGTGTCTCCGGGGTCTGTGAATAAAGATGAGAGTGAAGCCCCCTATACTGAGATGTATGAGAGACCCCAGAGAGTGTGTGTGGGGGGAGACTGGTCAAGTCTCAATGACATGATGTGAGGAGGAGAGGCGGAGTCTAATAGAGGCTGATGGCTCCTGACCCCCCCACTGGGCATATACTGTCCCCCCATTATTGTCTACTGACAGAGGAGGGGGGAGAAGAAGAGATGGTTGTAGTGACTGAACAAGGAGGATCTGGGACTCTTCTATGGATTTTAGCCGGCCATAGATGGTTCACATCTCGACTAGTTTAGCAGGAACCGGCCAAGATCTGAACCACCTATGGGCAAGCTGATCGTACCCAAGTTGATCTGTCGATCGACTTGGGTACAACCAGTATGTCATTTATTTATTAATCAAAAATAAGATTTATCAAATTAAAACCAATACACAGTGTACATACAACCATTACACATAACAGTAGTGGTGTTCCAAGGTACTCAAAAAATACAGAAGATATAGCAGGTCCAGAGAGCAGAGGTCACCCCTAAAAGTACACCCACGTATAGTGGTGTAGCACTAACCCCTTATGGGTTGCTGAGGAATTTGGGTCCCCCTACAGTCCTGCACAGCCAAGCATTCGGCATTTTCCACACAGGTTTACATCAGAGTCAGAAAATGAGTCTTTGAGCTTTGGTTTTGTATTTTATTGAGGAGATTAGAACTTGGATAAGGTAAGGGGTGTATAGGATGCCCTAGGGAACTGATAACTGAGGATAACTTCCTGAACTATCCACAGCAAACTTCTCTGACACAGTCTCTGTTAGAGAGATAGCCATCAACTCCTAGTTGTACCACCCCAGAGATGAACTCCTCTTTATCCAGAAATCTGGAGACTTTTACAGAGCAAGGGATCTGTCTCCTGTCCCTTTAATTGAGTTGAAAAGTCACTAGTAGGGGTCTAATCTGGTTTCCCACCAGAGTGCTCCTTCACTTATCCACCCAGTGGGTGCAGGTGTACTCACTCAGATCCTCTTCTGTCAGGTAGGCCCCATCCCGCTAGGCCTCCTGGCAGCCTTCCTCCTGCATCATATCTTTCTACTCCTCCTTCATCTTGCCTCCTCAAACTCCTGCTCAGGCTCCTACACTTTTAAGGGAGTCCCAACCTCTTACCAAGTCTTCTGTTGAGGATTGGCTGAGGTCTCTCAAGAGTGCAGCCAGCCACCCCTCAGATCCACCCACTGCCTCCAAGGTCCTCCTCCCAAAGCCCCAGAGCAGGGGGAAATTACATAGGGGCTGGCCTGCAGAGTCTCTCAGCCCTGACCACAATTTGACCCCTCTGGCTACAGCTCCTGACTCACCATTAGGATCTAGCTCCCCCTAGCTAAACTAGGAGGGTGCTACAATGGGTAAAG